TCATCTAGAAATCCTGAACATTATTTGCTGCTATGAGAATTTTGACTGGACAAAAGCTATCCACTACGCTGCTTTGGCTGTGCGTGCTAGTTACCACAGCATTCTGAATGCACCGCCAGAACAGCTGATTTCAGACAAGACATGATATCACGTCGGCTATACGAAGCTAATTGGAGCTATCTATCCATACGGCGGCTCGAAGCAATCCTAGCAGCCAATACTCGTGACAACAGCAAGCGATTGGAACACTTCTACAACCCCGGCGATCACATCATGCTCCGTGTTCCCAAACACCTTCGAGCTAAAACACATGCAGTCTCGAGGGAACCATATTCGGTCCGTACTGTTCACAACAATGAAACAGTCACAATCGCCAAAGATGCGTCAACTTAACGAGTCAGTCTTCGACGCATTTTTTCGTGCTAAGCCTAGTGCTTCATGGGGAGCTTGTTCTACGCATCTACGAGATGCGTAGATGCGAACAGCTAGCAAACCTGTTCTCGAAGCTCGATTAAAGCTGAGCACTACAAATTGTATCGACTGCAACCGCTCACAAATATGCAATAGGAAACATAATATATATCTCAATCTATTGCAGTACCAATTGGTGGGTTTGTGCCCCATACGTGTTGCGCTTAGTACGAAAAGGTGCTCGTGCACTCAAAAGCGCAGTGCATCGACCATGCAACCAACAGTCCCAAGGCAAGGCATCACAGAGTCTTAGTTGTCCGTGACAAGAGCTTAAATGCTCGAGGTCTCAGTAGAGAGAGTGTCTTCGACGCCGATGAACCCGTCTTCAGAACAGTCTTAGCCTCATCCTGCAACCTTCGGTATCGTACTAAGTGGCCTCCTGCAGCTTCTTGTTCAGACACAGAAGCAACAGACCTTTGGTGGCACGCTGCTTATATTTGATTTTGTGGCTGTCAGCATAGCAGATGCATAATGTGGTGATAATGGTACCGCCAAGGTTACGTTGACGCAGGTTTTTCGGCTCCCGAGACATCGTTCAATGCAGCCGCTACAACAATAAGCAGAGCAGAGCGATGGCCATCGTTTTTGATTAGAGTTGTGAAAGTGGAAGATGGCAAGTGTGAAGTGAGCACTTATTCGTCCACCTGACGTAAAAAATTGAGCAACCGAAGGCCATAGTCCAGAGTTTGGTTTCACTGACAAGTCTTCATAAACGACTGGGTTGCTCTCTAGCATTAGTCGCACACTGAGTGCTCCATCATGTACCGCATAGGGACACCCCGCTGAGGACAGCATCCGTCTGGCGCGAAGCTTGTGGTCCTCGACGGTGACTTTTGGTCGTGCCACAGGCGTTGAATAAGTCGTGCCTGTAATAGAGACAGCACTCGCTGTGAACTCATTGCGCCGTCAAGGTGTTGTACTGTGTCATTGCGACAGTAGGAAGCTGTTGGGTTGCGTATTATTTACGTCTCAGCTGTCATAGCGTATACAATGTACGTGTACGTCGTGATGGAGATGAATACATGGCAGATACATGAGTAATGCTCTAATATTTACTTTGGAAACTGTATCGCTTAAGCAGCATTTGTGCAAGACCCTACAGCCAAATACGAAATTGAAAAAGTCAAGAAAGAAGAAATGCTACGTGTAGCAAAGCCACGAAGATTAACTCACTGTGCTCAACTGAAACTTGCAGTGGCTTTAAGAGAAAGCTTGATAATTGACTTCTTTCATTAGAATTTTTGCTTGATCCTCCAGCACCGGGAATAAATTGAAGGTGGCCTTGAGCATTTGGAAGAGCTTCGTCGGCAAATAATTGACCGATAGGCCCATTCACTGCTGCCGAGTTATTGAGCTGCCGACGTTATCAACTGCCGTACTTTAAACACAATTCGTCCGGAATTCCGAACACCTTGTTGATCATACGTTCTTCACGGTTGCCACGAGTCGCACAAACTCGGGATACTAGAGCTTGGATATAAGTAGCAGCAGCAAGACTTCAACGCCATGTGCTCTGCATCCACAAAACAACCGTTAAAGTAATATCAATATTGCTGGTTGGCACTCCGTTCCCTCCCATGATCGTCAGCAATATGTTTAGCTGTCCTTGCAAGTCGGCCCATTCTCACACCTGCTGATTCAGGTAAGGATTCGGTGATACTTCTTCTTTCAATAGCAGTGGAAAGGAACATCGATTGAGTTTATAGGTGACTCGTGTAGTCTACGCAACAGTTTTAATCCCATCCGAACGTAGACAGAAGTAAGATCCCTTTGCGGAATCGGCTGACCAGACGCGAACGAAAAAGCACTTGGATACCTCGGTGGTTGGTACGAGTAGCTCTAGCCAGTTTCCTGTTCGAGAGTGCACCGACATATTGCAGTGCGTTCATCAATGGCACCATAAAATGTATATCATTGATACTAAATAAACCATACCGCTCCAGCACGTTACACGTAACGAAAATGTGTCTGGATCAAACACTGAGTATGCAAGGTGTTGTCAAGGTATGACCTAAACTACGTCTAGGTAAAGTTCTGCGTATTCCAGAGAACTATGCGATTCGGTTTGTCTTAGCCAATTTCACAATTACGAATGATATGCCATCCAAAAAGCCTCATCTACGCTACACAAACAACCGTGCGTGAACCTTGTTTCAAAGATGACATCCAGATTTTTATAGGTGAACAGTCTTCGGCAGTTGTGCACTTCATCGTAGTAGCCCAAAACACCAAACATTAATCGCACAGCACTCAACAAAAACATTAACAACCAAAGAACCAAGGGACGAGTTGATCTCTCCAAAGCACGACAGCCGGGCGGACGGGTGTTGTCTGTGGGTAGAATTGCGAAGAAAAGCTGGGAGTATCGATAGTGCATATAGACGAAGTAGAAGAAGCCGCGATTCTCTGAAAACTGAAAGCGTCGAACCGTTGCTTAACCCTTTTTGAGGCTTGGATTAGTGAAACACAACAAACAGCATCGACTGCAATTGCTCACAACTTTTTACAAATGCGAGTTGTTAATTACTGAGTAAGGCTCTACTATATGAATCAATCTACGCAGTCACCACTAGCTCTACGTGAAGTGGTAAGTATATGCTCCACAGGTTTGCGCTTAGCACGAATAAGAGCTAAAGCACTCAAAAGTTCGACTCGCAGTCCTTGCCCTTGAGACTGTCTGTCGCTGTTGTCGGATCCGACGTCAGAGCAGTCTTAGCCTCATACTGCACCTCGTACTGACAGTCCTTGCCCTCGGGACTGTCAGTTGCAGGTGTCGGGGTGGTCAGTGAAGGCATTACAGAGTCATAAGCGTTCGTGACAGGAGCCTCAATGGCCGGGGACTTGGTAGCGATAGCGTTTCTCGTCGTTGTCGGACTCGGTGTCAGAACAGTCTTAGCCTCACCTTGCACCTCGTGCTGAGTGGCGTCCTGCTGCGGCGTCAAGGTGGTGCTCGAGGCATAACCATCATCGCACGTCTCGGTGTCGCTCGTGCCAAATTCCTGCGACCAGTAATGCTGATATGTGTCGTGCCCGTTGAACGCGTATGCGGACGCGAACATCGTGTGGTCGCCCATGATGTTCTCTAGGTGCTCCGGAGAGCCGATCCACCCCTGCATCACGTCATCCACTGTCACATAACCGGCAGCTACATTCTCCGCCACGGAGGTCCAGTTGTAGCCGGCCCGTGTGACGCGCTGCGGCATTGTCGATCCGTCCGACCCTTTGTGGGACATGAAGTCGTTTGCGGCCATGTCATCTGAGTGGACCTGGGCGACGATGTGCAGTTTCTTGTTCAGACACAGAGGCGACAGGCCCTTGGTGGCGCGCTGCTTGTTCACGGCCGCGAGCATGGTATATGCATAGTCTTCGTAGGTTTTGTACGTTTCGACGTTAGTGGGGGTGGTGGTGCCGCCAAGGTTAGGCTGGCGCAGGGTGGCCGCTTTTGAGAAACCGTTTGATGCAGCCGCTACAAGCAGCAGCAGAGCAAGCGAAGACTGAGGAATGATCATCATGGTTACTTAGATGTTGTGATTGAGTAGGTAGTGGTGTGGATGGAAGATGGCAAGTTTGAAAGTGTGAGAGCATCAACGCTCGAGCGATTCTTCGGTGGCGATCAGAGCTTCAGCCAAACGTCACACAATGTGTCTACCTGAAAGAAGATCCAACGACCGAAACTGTCCCTTGCCTTGCCGAAGTTGCACAAAAACGCCGGCGAATGCACTATGCAATGCAAAATCTCAGTGTATCCGGTCAACAGGCGATGCCACTTCATGAATGTGGCCCCAGATGCTGCAGCGGAAGGGCAGAAAAGACCAAAATGGCGAGTCTAATTAGTATTTCGACCACAAGCGTTGCATTGTCGCGTCGTGCCGGCTGTTCACGATGAATGCTCGTGCGCCGCTGCGTACCGATACGCACGTAGAAACACAGCATTGCCAAATAACGCTTCTATTATAGTAGAGGTATTAACCTCTTTGCACCCAGCACATCGAGGTACGTACGTTGCTGTCGACGATACTATATAGCGTCATATTGAACGCACTTAGGCACAACCCGCTACACTAAGAATGGTACCACCGTCTGCGCATCGGGAGGAAAGGCCCACACGCAACACTTTTGCGTCACCAGCTGTCGCGAACGAAGATTGAAGCCATTCGACGAGGCTTCGAGTATTTGGTGGCGTGGCGCCACAATTCTGGCTGACACAATATTTGCGCAATGAAGATCAGCAAATGAACGGATTGTTAGTACACATCTGATCCAGGTACTCGAAGCGGACAACTGCTTTCGACGCGCGCGGCAAAATGCCACATGACGTTGCATTGCCGTTGTAAACCACTAGCTTCACGCGACTAATGAAAGAGGGTATTCCAGCCGTGTATTGAAACGTGTCAATGAAGATCAGACTCTGGACTATGGCCTCCGGTTGCTCGACTTTACACGTCAGGCGGGTTAACCAAACGCTCACTTTCAAACTTGCTATCTTTCACCCACACCACTACCTACTCAATCACAACATCTAAGTAACCATGATGATCATTCCTCAGTCTTCGCTTGCTCTGCTGCTACTTGCAGCGGCTGCATCAAACGGTTTCTCAAAAGCGGCCAACCTGCGCCAGCGTAACCTTGGCGGCACCACCACCCCCACTAATGTCGAAACGTACAAAACCTATGAAGACTATGCATGTACCATGCTCGCGGCCGTGAACAAGCAGCGCGCCACCAAGGGTCTGTCGTCTCTGTGTCTGAACAAGAAACTGCACATCGTCGCCCAGGTCCACTCAGATGACATGGCCGCAAACGACTTCATGTCCCACAAAGGGTCGGACGGATCGACAATGCCGCAGCGCATCACACGGGCTGGCTACGACTGGACCTCCGTGGCGGAGAATGTAGCTGCCGGTTATGTGACAGTGGATGACGTGATGCAGGGGTGGATCGACTCTCCGGAGCACCTAGAGAACATCATGGGCGACCACACGATGTTCGCGTCCGCATACACGTTCAACGGGCACGGCACAGATCAGCATTACTGGTCGCAGGAATTTGGCACGAGCGACACCGAGACGTGCGATGATGGTTATGCCTCGAGCACCACCTTGACGCCGCAGCAGCACGCCACTCAGCACGAGGTGCAGGGTGAGGCTAAGACTGTTATGACACCGAGTCCGACAACGACGAGAAACGCTATCGCTACCGAGTCCCCGGCCATTGAGGCTCCTGTCACGAACGCTTATGACTCTGTAATGCCTTCACTGACCACCCCGAAACCTGCAGCTGACAGTCCCAAGGGCAAGGACTGTCAGTTCGAGGTGCAGTATGAGGCGAAGACTGCTCTGACGTCGGATCCGACAACAGCGACAGACAGTCTCAAGGGCAAGGACTGCGGGTCGAACTTTTGAGTGCTTTAGCTCTTATTCGTGCTAAGCACAACATCGGTGGGGCACAACCCACCACTTCACGTAGAGCTAGTGGTGACTGCGTAGGTTGAGTCATCTTAGAATCTTATTCAATGATATAGAACCTGAACAAAAACACAATCGCAGCAATTACAATCGATGCGGTTTATCCTTTGAAATTGTGGAGATAAGATCTGTCAGTCAGAGATTCTAATGGGATGAAGGAAGCGTTGTATAATCACTAATAATAATGTGGCAATACCAATGTGTCGGGAACGGTCTCCACTCTCTTTCGTCCTTGAAAATGGTACAAGGCTCCAATGTTTGCGAATGTCGAATTCGTGAAGTCTGACTATTGTTGAAGCTGAAAGGTTAAAGGATCCAGAAAGTTTCAAAGTCACTAGTATGACCGAACTAATCGATAGCTCCCCTGATTTCGTCGAAATGAGTATAATGACAGATGCGTACTGGACCAGTATCACATCGATGGCCAGATCTCATAGCGATCGACACAGTGACTATCAGGGCAATTACATGACGTAGTCAGTGGATAAGGACAAGACGCCTAGATTCATTGGCCTCAGCAAGTATCGTGAAACTGAAGTAATTTTCGCCTACTCTAACATGTACGATTATTTATTAAGTCAGGCAAAGTATGTGCGCGATGGTCGGAGCTTTGTTCCTGATCTTCTTTGCGGTTGTAGACCAAGTCTGTTGTTGTATGTTGCGATTTCTTTTTGCGGTGGAGGACCCTCTTTGCCTCGCGGAAATCACAAGCGATGCAGCACAACCAGTCTATTCAGCAGTCATATCCTCTTTATAATCTAAAAAATCTTGACGATGGCGTCCCTCTAAAACACCGACTCTATCGGAAATTTTGCAAGCAGTGACGAGTGCGAGAGCTTTACTTTGTAGACGTATTGACGTAGCAACCTCCATTACTGCTATATCATCCAGCAATCTACAATGTAGCAGTGCTCCTTTGCGCTATGTACATACTACCTATAGAAAATCGGCGGGCATCATTTGCTGTCAATACGACTGTTGGTACGACTTACAACAACAAAGCAATTTGTTGGATTTACACCGACACTCTGGAGCTCGGACGGATCAAATAATGAAGACGTTCGTCCGTGATCGAGTAAGACACGCAAGTAAATATTCTGTACACCGCATCACAATATATGCCACAATACTCTCTGTAAAACCTTAAGGAGGCTCCCTCCGGCAGATATCGCCTCTTTGAAACGACTTCTCGGATATGTTCATTGGAAAAGTATCTGGTAAGCGACATAAACTTTAAGGCATGTATAATATGCGCCGTAGACACAAGCACGTCAGTTGGGTGGCTCGTAATACTGAGCGGTCCCAGTAAGAGTTGTTGAAAGCCATACCGGATAACCCAGTGAATAGAACACTGTGTCAGGCCGTAGCTGCTCACACGAAAGCCACAGCTTGCGAGTCTCGATCTACGATCTCACTGCAGTATTATCTCTTATAACGTCCGTTGCGACACCCAACAAACGACAACAACAACAACAACACAAGATCACTGCCGTCACTATCGCGTAATTTACTGTTGCTCTTCTCTTCGCTCTCGCCCGACCAAAAGCGGATCAGGAGTCACTAATTCTCGGCATCGGTATGAACAAAATGATGCAGACTGTGACTCCGACAAGCACGGAGTGTCCTTTGGACACAAGGCGTAAGCCGCTATCTATGATCGCTTACGATGAGTGTAAGCGATCGTAGGTATGACTCTAAAACAAGGCAGCACAGATTTACCTTAGACGTAGCCATTATCGCCAACGCAAACATGATAAGTTTTGTGGACATTTGAAGTGCCAGGTACACATTGGCGTACGTTCAGCAGCCCTGCAGTGTACATTCGGTAGGCCCAAAAGGCATGACTCCCATCACTTGTTTCAAGCATATTGATTTATGGACCTCCAATGCTAGCTAGTTTGACCCTATATACAGTGTCACGCAAAACCGGACCTAAACGGCAGTGCCCTGCATTGAAGTACTTCCATTCGCACCTTCTGCCTCATCAAGAACTTGTCGAGCAATACCTTCCCAGCTTTTGGCGTGAGAAAACTTGTAGTGAAGGAGATAACTGAAGCCACGCAGCAGCAACGAGCAGCGAAAAGCCATCACGTACTCATCCGGGATGTACTCAATTCGGTCAATCCTGGATGATAGTCACACACACACCACACGCATTGTTATGTTAATAAAGCACAAGCAACCCTAATAGAAGCAAACCCACAACACTACGTACTTGTGCAAGTGCTCGAGAAAAAGCTGCGGATTCATGCCTTCCGTGACAGTGCGGTCATCATTGTCAATCATCAGGCGGGCCTGTTTTTCCAAGAAGTATGGATCCATATTCGTTGTTTTAATGCGCATTTCCTTCGTCAGTACATCAATGATGTCGTCACGTGAGCCACTAGCCAGCGCCACGATCAGCTTTGCAAGGTGAATCTTGTGCTCTCTCGAGATGTGTTTTACCTGGCCATAATCGATGAGACCGAGGCGCCCATCCTCGAGAAGCAGAATGTTCCCAGGGTGTGGATCTCCATTAAATGATCCATTCACGAAGATCTCGTAGCCATGCACATCCATCACAAGCTTTAAAATCTCAGGCAAGTTTAACAATTGGTGCTGTTCATCCTCTCGTGGTTTCCACTTTTGCGGAGCGATAAATCCCAGCGTGTAATCGTAAGAAACTCTCCCAATACGCCTTACCAGACGCTTCGCTCCGAGTGTCAGCCCATACAAATGCAGCTGCGACGACGACGGTCCTGTCTCAATATCCAATCCACGCGCTTCACGCTCCTTATCCTTCCGCTCCTGATCTTGTTTCAAAAACTCCACCGTGACTCCCTTATCTGCTGCAATGGCCTCAAAGTGATCTTGGATACCATCCAACAGCTTGCGTCCTTTCAAAAACTCCATCACCAGTACTTCCTTTGTACAGAGCTCTAGCTTTGGTTCTGGGATCGCCACTTTCTTGGCATACGGACTTTTAGCAATGTTTTTCTTCACCAAAGCCAAATTCTTGGCTTCTTCGATATAGTTAAACTCCGTCATAAACTGTTTCTCTACCTCTACAAGAAACGGCAAATGCACTGGTTGAAAGTACCGACAAAAGTCCTGGATGGTCTTGATATCCCAGCGGAAGAAAGTCTCAGCGTCTGGATGTTGCACCTTCACAGCCACTTCTTGTCCATCAAGCAACACAGCTCGATGTGCTTGACCAATAGACGCCGCTCCAAGTGGCTTCGGATCAATGAACTGAAACAATTGGTCCATCGGTTTGCCATAGCTTTTTTCAATAATGGCACAAATCTCCTCCACAGGCTTTGACGGTGCATCGTCTTGGAGTTTAGCTGCTCGGTCCAGATACTGTTTAGGCAGTACATCAGGTCTCGTCGAGCCCGTTTGTGCCAATTTGACGTAAAATCCTTTGAGTTCCAATACAATATCGAATACTTCAGGTGCATATTTCTCATGAAGCTTCTCATACTCGATATTCTGCTCTTCTTCAGGTAATTTAAGGTGATCCATATACAGCTGAGCTGCTCGGTAATGGAGGTAGATGGGGAAAGCTTTGCGCCAGAAATACAATGATCGGTTAAAGCCTTCGTCCGAATGCATGGCAAAAGTTATACCAGTAGCTCCTGCAGCGGTCGAGCCTAATAACAAGCGAGCACCATTACGGAATACTAATTGCCACATACTTGTCCAGATTAACACTAACGATATCTAGATGTCGAGTTAGGTTAGTTACGACTTGTTATGGGTTGTTATCACATTTCTAAAATTAGAAACGCAATGACGACTTCTTGCTTAGATGTTGCTTGAATGGAACAAGATCGTCTACATAACATTTCGGCTAACATTCACAATAGAAATGAGCTCGTCCCTGGGTGTTACTGTACTGACAAGCGTGGCGCAGGAGGTCAAGCAGAGCAAGGAGCGAAAGTTTACGGATGTGCATGGAGAAATGCTCGCATCTCTTCCATTTGAGGACCTTCAATTGCTGCAAATGGCCAGTGAATTGGTGGAGAGAGATCTGGTAGTTAAAGTGACGGCGACGCCGTCCCAACGGAGTTTCTATCGCGTAGAATCGCTTAACAAATATAAGAAACGAGACCAAGAAGCCGATACGTCTATTGAGAGTGTGACACAGCCATTTGATGACTCAATGGTGAGTGGAAGTGGTGCAAATTACTACAACTGCTTTAGTCATTATTGTACCTGTGCCGTCTTTCATGAGACAACGGTGATGACACATTCAACAGCAATGGTACGAAGTCATGAATGATGGTGGAGTTATCCAACAACATTAAGGAAAGTCTGATGCTCTTGTAGTGCAAACATATGGTCGCACGATTACTGGCAGACGCGACTGGTCAGTATCAGATGATGCAGGTTGAAGATGCCAATTTTGCGCAAATGCTCTGTCCTCCTTCCACAATGAAGTAACAGCTAGAATATCAGTCTGAGATTGCAATAAGGAATTGTCATATGGCAACGTATGAGACTTAACGAAAACAATGTCTTCTGAATGTGTCCAGATCTGAGGTTCTTTGAATGTTACGTCAAGTCATTCGCGCCAATGGCAAATAATAATAAAGCAGTAGGTTCGCCACCTGCTTCGTCTCCGCAGAGCTGGAATTGGCTGAATGTATCTCAGAAAAAGGATGAGTCCAACCATGGCAATTCCAAGGTTGTCGTCAGTAGCCAGAGCCACCATAATGCAACGTCCAAGTTATTGTTACTTAATCGGCCACCAACCAGTACACAACTCGAGACAAAACCAAAAACAATATCTACCGCCACCGATTGTGAAAAACCTGTTAAATCTAATAACGAAGAGGTAGAAGAATTTTCAAAGGTGCGAATCACCGACCGTACGATTTCAATGGAAGTTCTGCGCCAAGAGATGACAGGACGTAAATTTATCAAGTTGCAACAGATGGACCGTGTTCCTAAAGATATATTTGTCAACAGAGAAGTAGGTCTTAAGTCGACAACTGTAAGTATCTTATACTGATTTACTTGAGACACTAAAACATGTGTATTTCTTGTGTGTTGTTGAGTAGATTGATTGGGTGACAATCGGTGTCTTGACACGGAAAACCCTATCAAAACCAGCGGCCAATGGATCCACATTTATGGTGTGGGGATTATCGGATCTGGATGGAACGGAGCTGGGGCTTTTTCTCTTTGGGGACGCCTATTCAAATCATTGGAAAGAGATGCCAGGCTCAATTGTTGCAGTTCTCAATGCGACATTGCTGCCTGCTACGGAGAAAAACAAATTTGCATTCAAAGTGACGCAACTGACGGAAATTGTAAAGCTGGGTAAGGCAGTAGATTTTGGTATTTGCAAGGGAACGACCTCGGGAGAAGCACGTTGTCGGCTTGCAGTCAATACGGCAAAGGTAGGATCAATTTCATGCTGATGACGTAACAATTGTTGGGTTTTGATCCTTGCTGAGAGCTAACCTTTCTTTGTATTTTTGCCATAACTGCATGGTATTGAAGACACAGTACTGTTTGCATCACATTGCAGCAAATTTCATAAAGGCAGGACGAGGACGTCAACAGCTTAATAACTCGACGGGCAGCCTGCGTAAGGCACTTTTTGCAGGACTTGCCAAACCGAAAAATCTATCGGCTGGAGTGTACACGTCGGCCCCATCGAATTCCAACAAAGCTGGATGGAATCCAATATTTACCAAGAAACGCAAGCGGAACGATGCCGGTGGCGGAGTTTTGGGCGTGCCCACCGTTTTGACAGCATCGGGCGCTGTTGTCCAGCGTGGTAGAACACGTCCAACACATGCGACAAAAGCAAGCAGTATTTCTGGCAAAAGACCATGTAGTACCATGAGTCTCATGGATCAACTTCGAGAACCGTCAGCGTCTATGCATTCTGCGCCTAAAGGGGTAGGCGCGGGATCAGCGAACGTAAACCAACCCTCCAATCGAGCGCAGAAAATTGTGTAAGTTGTGTCTTGTGTTTGCGACAGACCGAAGCTTACGATCACTTTTTACGCTTCCAGATCAGCAATACTTGCAAAGGATGGAAAACCGCTCAAACAACCTAAGACCAAGAAGGTGAATATGATCCACTTCATGAGCACTGGGTCTTACGTGAAGAAATGAGGTCATACAATGGAGTCAACACGTTGCACGTACTGAGCTTTGGTATATCGATAACGGTAAACACAAACTGTATTCTGTATTCAACGCCCAAACTTTACATTCTTTACTTGGTAACATGTTTGAGCATGCTAAATCAAATTCATGCGTTACGTATCGAGTTCGAGGTTAGTGTGCTACGATAAATTTTGGTAATGAGGCCTTGCAAAATCGAGATACGAGCCCAGTTAGTTGTGTGCGAAAAGTCAAGCATTCGACGGCAAATGCTGATTATGGCGTCCAGAAGCCCATTAACTAGCAGGATACTTGTTTGTAATCAACCAGACATATTGCCTCCTTCTATGATGAACCAGCGCAACATCGTAGCTCTCGAATACACACATAGCAATATTGTCACGAATGAGTTCAGGTTTACTGGGGGTATAATGCGAGATTTTGAATCTCGAGATCCCTCGGACTTCATCTTCGCAACCAGCAAACTGGTGATTTTGAAAGAGAGTATGTCAAATTCCACATACATTCACATTCACACCGACTACTATAAGCATACCACTATGGGGTAGGTAGACTATAGTCAACAAGTCACATGGATGGAGGCGCCTGGGAGGTGGTTGATGGAGTACAGGCAACCCTGAAGGAATAAACCAGCGCAGTCTGCCAACATGACCCCAACCGTATCGCCAACGGACACGGCCGCAAGTGCTAACTCTACATGGCTTGGCGGAACCTCCTTTGACAGCAACGTATAGGCATTCACATAAACACCACCACCGAGCAACCCAACCACGAAGCACACAAACAGCAACCCCCAATTGTACCAGAAGTGCGTGGCCGCCACAACAGTAAAAAATCCTAGCAGTATCATTTGCAATGCCGGCATGAGGTACAACATCGGCCTCGTTGCCTGGAAAAGTACACCTGATGATCTCGAAATGAAGACGCCAGCTTGGTACGCAAAACCTGCTGACGAGTAAAAACTAGTCCGAGCCTTCTTACTTTCCACGGGAAATCCAATCGCCGACCACACCCCCGTCTGCATGGTATACTCTGCCCAATACACCATTGTCAGTGGGATGATATACGGTCCAAGCGTCATAATGAATTTCATCTTTGCCTTGAACCGCATCGTTGATGCATCGATGTGCACGGATGGTTCTTCTGTTCCTTGATCCCACTCCATCTCTTTCTTCATTTGTTTCAACTGATCTTTCGTATGATCCACCGCCACCATTGCTGCCGCAAGCCCGTCACTTTCAGGAATCGAAACATAACTACAAGTTCTCGCTGGTAAAAGTTTTGACCTGTCAAGGACAAAGAGAAAGACCAAGACGTACAGAACTGGAAAAATGATGGCAAGTTTTAATGTCGTCTGAAAACTGAGACCACCCCAAAGGTGAAAAAATGCAATCCATGCATACCCTCCTACCCCCGCAAGTCCCGTACCACTTGACCAGCATGTCAAACAACGTACGGGACTCGTATAGAACGAGGACATTGCAAGAAAACTTGCTTCCATCATTCCAGACTGTAACCCGGAAAAAGCGACTCCTACTAATTGTAACCACAATGATTCGTTCCCTTTAGCAACGATTACAAAGCTTAGAAACATCCAAATAGCGCCTGTAATTGTACGTTGGCGATACGATACGAGTTGAAACCAATAGGGACCCGAGAGTTTGACAATTAATGCTGGAAAAATATCAAAAAAATAGACGAGTCCGACGCCTCCGGCTGATATCTCCTGTGCACCCGCAATCATGATGACGTAACCAATGTTGTTAATAAATCCGAGCATCCAGAATGCCAATAGATTACGGAACGGTTCAGGATCCGCAACATGATCGCCTTTTTTGGCATTCATGAAAGATTAGTGTGAAAAAATAACGCTACCAAATAAAGTATCAATTGCGATAAGGCGACTTTATGATATGGTAGACGCGGGATTTTGAAATAGCGCTCGTTATTGAAAAAACATTGCAATATATTGTATCTATTTTTGCAAAAGCTTTAATGAGTCGACACAGTAAGAATGCGACGGCGACGACGCACTTTACGTACCGTGAGCGGGAGGCAGCAGGTCATGGGACAATAAAGCGACGTTTTGGTCGTGATTCGCAACTATCATTTGGTGTCTGTTGTCTTTGTCTGGCGTCCACGAACAGCCGCAGTCCACTCGTGTCCCCCGACGGTTTCGTATACTGTAAAGAGTGCATTTACGCTAATCTATTAGCGCAAAAACGGACAATTCAGGATAATGTAACAGCTTATGAGCGCTTTATCGAGTCTCAGGAGCGGAAAAAACAGGAAAAAATGCTGCAGACGGAGCGTGAGACGCTTCAAATGGCAATGGGGATGGCAGAAGGAGTCGGAGCAGGACAGAAACCGGATAAGGCACTGCTGGCGATGCAGAAGCTGAAGGAAAAAGTAGATAGAGCTACAGACGATGAGAAGCGCGAAGCTATGAAGAAAACCAGCTTTTGGATCCCAGATTGTGCTCCCACACAGGAAAACAAACTTGATAAGCCCGACACGATGACCAGAGACCCCATGAGTCTTGAGCCCATGAAGCTTAAACATTTGATGCCCGTCAAATTTGACTGGAATACAAGTGCACCAGATGGAAAACCTAAGGTGCTGTGTGCTGTGACCAAGAAGGAGATTTCTCATCATCATGCAGTATTACTGAGACCCTCGGGACAGGTGATTCTAGCGACCTGTTTGAAGGATATGGTGTTGCCTACCATGACGTGTCCAGTGACAGGCCTTAAGCTGCGCAAGAAGGACATTGTGCATCTGCAAGCTGGAGGCACGGGTTTCAGTGCGCATAGTACAGTAGAAGCGAAGAAGTACCGACCTACCATGACTTAGACTAGGCAGTTCTTTGACTGTGAAGGAGAGGCAGACGCGGGTGAACTTCAAGTGAGGAGGTGTCAAGTATTACATTTACTACACGAGTGTTGATTATCGTAGCAAGACGGACTGTTTTGAAGCCTTACATGTACAAGTTTAAGCTAACACTGTAAGTCAAGTCCTAATTAAATAACAACTCTATAGATCTAGGTCGGAAAACAAGTCAACACGCGTCGGAGCCACCACACGCTGGGTTCCATAAGCTCGATATAACGCTGCTTGGATGGTCTCAGGCTTCTCCCCCTGCCAGAGCAACTCGCGAATTCCTTGTAGCGTCTGATCACTCACATCTGCGACGGAGAAGTACGCTGCCGGTTCCTGTTTGTTTTCCTCTGTTTCGGTTGACATGGCCTTCTCCAGCATCGCAGATTGAGCTTGACTCTCTTCACTTATTGCGCTCTGACTATACAGACTTTCTTCAACAATAAAGCATGTCTTTTCTTGCACAACGATACCTTTCAAGCATAAGAATAGTTAGCTACTCACGGCACCTTGACCACCTGCAACACGCAATAGTACGACTTACCCTGATCAATAAATTTTCTCGCAATTGTATTCCCAGCATCGAGACTTTTAGCGATCAAAAATACAACTCCTGACTTATAATCCACAGCATGGTTCGCCGTTGCTTCACCTTTTGCATCCTTATCGACCGGTTTGTTCTTTTGAGTCTTTACCACACTGGTCGTAATTCCGTGGCGATACAGCAGACCGGTCGCCAAAAGTGACGTCGGTAGCCATTGCCTCGTAGTATTTGCATTCCGATCTGCAATATCCTCAGCTTCACCACATTCACCACCTTCCTCATAATCTGTTACTAGAAACACGTGCGTCTCTCCTCGATCATAACAAACTGAAGCAATAAACGTCAGAACAGCTGATAACGGATTGAAGCACACGTTAAACGTATCCATCATCGACGTCGGTAGCGGCTGTCCATATGGAGGCAACACTGCTACCGAATACAACAATGAGGTGTTGCTTCTCGACACCTGAGCTTTCAATTTACCAGCATAAGCCACTGCCGTCTCTATATCACTGAGCTCCACCTCAATAACCTTCACTCTTTCCTCCTGATCTTGTTCTCTGTTCAACTTCACGTCAGCTCCCACTTTCTTCAAATTTACTGCATTGTTTACTTCCAACTTCGTCCAATTCTCTTTAGTCATTGGTACTATCGCGATATGATTCGCGTGTTTATGTATTAAAGCTCGAGACAGCGGCGAGTTTACGGGCGCAAGACGTACCACACTCTCATCATCCTTTATAACCTCCACTTTGTCATTATTACTATTAACAGGATCCGTCTTGTGCCAGCACCACATACTCCATGCAAGTCCGTAGCTTCCCATCGCGATACGTAGAGCCCGGACCGACTTGATGAGCACCAGACGTTTTGCAATAGTTATAGACCGAGGGCCTACGACATCTGTATCACTTATAAGAGTGGACAACGGGACACCCGACGCTGCAGCCACGTGACGGGCCGAGATGGAACTCCACACGGTGCTGGGCAGCACGTTGACGGCAGCAAAGCGCAACGCAAACCGCAGAGGTATCGGGTGGCGCTCGATCTCTAGACAGCCTTCAGTAAAACCCAGAGCAAGAGTAGCGAAGACGGTGCCGTAGATACCCCATAAGCCAGGCGTAAAGTCAGCCATGACGTTTTTACTGAAAAATAACGGCGTGTTTTAACGGTAAAACTCCAAATAGTAATGACAATAACTCAAGTTTCGTAGCCGATACGATATCAATCAAACAACCTCTCAAGACGAATATATTGGGCTTTTGAAGATGTATTAAATATCCTGCAGACAGGTCGTGGTACCAAGGTGATAGTACTAACGTAATCTTCGCCAATTGATGCGCGCCGAAGCGTCTATCGCCTCTGACGTTATGTTTTTCCAATACGATGTGTTGCCCCGTCGCACACGAACATTCCCCAGTGCTCGTGTGTGTGTTTAGCGCATCACTAAAGCTTGATTGGAAGATGTTGTGCGACAGCTGACGTACCTCGAGTGCCCGAGTCGTAGTAATCCCCGTTTTATGAACAAAGCGTCCGCCTCCAATCATGGCGTACACAGCCAGCAACGAGGCGCAATAGCGTCGTTTCTGTGCTCGGCAATCGCAAGAAACTCGCGAGATTCCCTCGGCATACAGAATTGCAGTCTAAAATTTGCTGGTGCATAAGGCTTCGCACGTTTCTGTATATCATCGAGTCGCTCGATTGGTTGCCAGTCATAAAAGGTTTTCAGCCCCGTCACTTTTCGGCCCTACTTCTCATTCCACAACATTCCACCGCCTAAGCAAGTCGCCACCCGCCATGGGAGTGCAACCTCATCACTATTTACTAAACATCCAGGAACAGATGACCAAAGCGCGTCGGAGCCCGCCTTTTAGCAAGCATTCCTTGCGCTGGCACCGCCACCATGAGCCGAACTCTGAAGAGACCGAGCACCTGAAAGAGAGACTTCTACGCATCCACAAGATGAAACTTACACACTTCAGGCTGAGTCACATGAAGAAGGTCGTTGAGCCATCCGTGCATGTCGTCGTGCTGCCCGAAGAGGCCCAAAAGCTGAAAGAAAAGATCCTACGCTCCCACAAGGCCAAGCCCACGCGCTTCAGCCTAAGCCACATGAAAACGGTCGTCGTACCACCCGTCGACATTCCCAGGGAGATGAACTGCCAACGGGCATTGACTATGATCGTTGCCGGTCGCAACGTGCCACTCACGCGCACCATGTGGGACAACACCAAGCGAAAGGTGCACTACATGGAGCAGATCCCCGAGTCATACCCATTGGACTGCACACTCTTCCGATGAGAGCCCGCCGCCTGCGCTAAAGCAAGCGCCAGGATATTACAAAAGCCTAGAAAAACAATAGACGATAGACTAGTAAAAAAACAAGCAGCAGTTCACTGTCTGTCGTGATAAAATATCTAACACAAATGAGCTACAACTTCGTGTCGTAACTTTACTCCCTCGCACGTCTACCTGTGTCTAGTAGCAAATGTATAGAAGAAGACCTACGTGGACGTCAATGCATTGGTAAAGGTGTGTTGGAGCAGTAATCGGGTGCGAGAGATACGAAGCGATTGCGAGAGACCATTGCGTCTACGTGGCTGACGACATCACGACGCATTGCATGGGCTTTGTGTCCGAGGATGTGGTCCCATCGTCTGCTTCTTCTCACGGCATTCTCGGCTCTTCCAGCCTCTTGTGTTGTCAGCAGCTAATGCAGTTGGTCTCATGCAAACCTGGCTGTGCTCAAGACTAAAGTGTCCACTATAGAACTCTGAGCTTTTGACTGTGTCTTGTAATAGATTGTTACTTCCTCAAGCTCCTCATTTTTTCTTAGTTAAAAGTGCAAACAGCGATAATGACGTCTTGCTGCAAGACGCAGCTTCACATACAGACACTGGGGGGGGGTCAAGATCTCTCGTAGGATTCGTAAAGCGCCGACCTTCAGCACCCCATATTTTACTCGTCATATTGCCGAATGTTCAGATCAAAATGTAACGTGAAGGTTAGCTGAAGGACAGAGAGTGATGGTAATGGGTGCACAACAGGCTGGGAGTGATGGTCGTGCATTCATAATGAGTCGGCAAACACTCAATGAGACGGCGCTGGATTTGTTCGCGCGACGACCGACACGCAGTTTCTTGACCAAGTTGAGCTTCATTGACGCGGCTACAACGAAACAAGATGGAGAAGTAGTTGGCTACCGACCACGACAAGTTATTGAGGTCTGTGGATCGAGTGACACGCCCAAAACTCACGTGCTAGAGCACATTATAGCCTCTTTTGTCACAAAAAGCTGTTATTCCAATGACCAGCCGCCGAAAGAGCGTGTTTTTATCTTTGACCATGAGTGTCAAGTGTCAGCAACGCGAATGGCGGCTATTGTAGCTCGTAAATTGGATGGTAAGCAGCGGGACGAGATGGTGGAGGAAGTACTGAGCCGAGTGCAGACCTGCTACTGTCGAGACTCGTTCCAATGGCTCGCGACACTAAATCACGTTCATTTTCAGCTCTTAGAGGCACCACCAGCACGTGAGTTGCAGTGAAGTTGAGGAATGGAGGTTGAGGTTGAGGAGTGGCTTATTTGCTCTGGTCGTGCTTTGAGCAGCTTTGATGCTTGTATTCAATTGCATAGGCTCTTTCCATGCGCTTGACAAGGTACGATAACGTGGTGAGTTACGTGCTGTATGGTTGAAGTGACAAATGAATGAATGAGTGTAATCGTTTTACATGATGTAAGATTGTAGCAAGGAGCGTGGGGGACGGACTAGCGCTGTCGGAGCAAGTATTTATTTTCCTGAGACAGTTTATCCGACACCATTCGCCTATTGTTTTTGCGGCTAAGGAAACCACTAGTACGGCCTTCTCATGTTATTAAAGTTATCTCTGGTGATGCTAACAGATTAGCGCTGTTATAGAAAACACGCGAAATCCGTGGGAGCATACCGAGTACTTGCCTTCGTCGTGGACTAGCCAAGTATCCAAGCGAATTTTGCTTCGGATACCTCCACCATTACTTGACGTTCCAGAGTAGGTATATTCTCTATTGTTGCCTTGCTATCTTATTAAAAAGAAAGACTTGACATGTTCCAATGTGCTAGTCTAACATTGGAGAAAAAGAGTAGCTTTCACCACGAAGAAAGCGACGGATTCGTACGATTCGAGGCCAAGTGTTTTGCTGCTGGAAGGAGGTGGGTGATCAGGGGTGTATGTGTCATCTTATCAATGCAGATCTGATATTTTGCTGCGATGTTTTTAGCCGTGTGTATGAGTGCCGCACAGACGGAGATATGATTTTGTATAACTCAGGCGATGAGACAAAGTTTCCACTCATGAAGTGATTGATTCGCGACTTTGGCCACCATGTTTGCAAAATGCAAATAGTGCCTTTAAATACAACGACATGCGTGCCGTGTGACACGCCCTTGGCTGGCAGAGGGGCTATCGGCTCCGGGAGCTTGCTGAAGAGGCTTCTGGAGATGTAGGTAAAAATAAGAAATGAATTAATTAAAGAACCATTAGTCCTATCGTCCTTAACCTGACGTGCTACCATATCTGTCAACCTTGCCGAGAAAAATCGCCATTTATATGAAGGTAATTTGGGACGTGTGCGGTTCGCTGATTACGTGTTACCACTGTCGCCTGATAATTATACAGTACACGCCAAGCTTTATCCGATCCCACGCAGCCTCGAGAATGCAGCAAAGGCTGAAATCCAGCGTCTGATTAAGCTGAATGTACAGGAACAAATTTACAACTCAGAAATGGCTAGCCCCTTTTTGGCCAAACCGAATGGTTCACTGACTACTAATCGACTATCGAATGCTAAATCATTGTATACGTCAAAGTTCATACTTCGTTCTTCCAACCGCAAGATTCTGCTACGTCTCGTAATTGCACGGTGCATAACGAAACTGGATGCCAACATGGGATACTACGCTACACAATTCTTACTGATTTTCGCCTACCACTTGGAAAGTATCAGCACAAGCGTCTTCCAATGGGAATATCTACCGCATCTCTCGGATATCAAGCCTGCATGGAAATTTTTTCGGCGATCTGGGATTCGTCGTTGCGAATCATATGATCTGCTAATTTTCCCGTAATAAAACGGAACACTTAGAGCATCTTCGGGTGGTGTTCGGGCAACTCGACCAATATGGAGCCACATTAAATGGAAAGAAATGTCATTTTCTACGACCGGAAGTATATTACCTGGGCTATATACTGACTGCAGATGGAATGAAGCCGCAACAAAAAAGATTCAAGCAATTAAGCAGCTTGCGATACCGCAACAGAGAAAAGATCTTCAACGATGTTTGGGCATTATTAACGTTTACCGTGGCATGGTGCCAAACAAAACCGCATTGTGTCAGCCATCGCATCGAATGACAAGTGCAAAGGTTCCTGTCACATGGCTTCCAAGTGATACGAAGGCAATTTGGGATATACAAAAGGCATTTGCGGAGGCAGTTCTCCTAGTCTTTCCTGACTTTGCGAAACCATTTCATTTGTATGCCGATGCCAGTGGAAAACAACTTGGTGGCATCATCATGCAAGATCGCAAGATCATAGCATGTTACCCTCGTGCACTCAATAATCACCTGCTCAACTATACAACGATGGAATTAGAATTGCTTTCAGTTGTCGAGACACTCCGTGAATATCGGACTATGCTTCAGGGATTTTCAGTGGTGGTTCATATGGACCATAAGAACCTTAGTTACCCCACGGCAAAAAACATGCGGGTCAAACGCTGGAAATTACCTCTTTTCCAGTATCACTGACGATGCACTACATCAAGGGAGACAAGAAGATTGAAGCAGACGCATTCTCGAGAATGCAATTAAAAATTACGCAAAACAAGTTAACATTGGTTGACGAGCTATGCTCCGTCTCAGATGACCCTTTGTGTGTGATGCATGGTCCTGTGATTAAGCAACATCAAGGCAAAGACCCGATGATTCAACATATTAAGTGTAGCGGAGCTGCACAGCTCTTTAGCCAGAGGAAGACTTTTGGCTGGAAGCCTCTTAGTTCTAGAGAACTAAATAGAGTTAAGGCTAAAAGCCACTTAGTTCTAAGGAACTAATTAAACGACTTAAAGTCAGCAAGCAATAAGCTTAAGGTTCAGAGAACCAACGCACAGAGTGCAAGAACAAGCTAGAGCTTAGAGGTTCAGAGAACCAACGCACGAAGTGCACAAGAGAACAAGTCAGAACGACTTGTGATCTTAAACTCAAAAGGAGAACTGATTTTATTTATGCTTTAAGATTTTATGAATAGTCCTACTCTAAGGACACTACACTAGTTTATATTTTGCAGACTTTGCTATTGAACGACGTATCGTCTAAACATCTGTGTATGATGTACTTAATACAGCGTTAGTGATTTATCGAATTTCAATCGATAAGATACGGTATTACCGAATACCGCATCTTTAACGCTCATACTTAATACCTCTCTAAAGAGAAGTATAATAATGCATTATATGCAATACAAAGGAGAGTTTAACCGTAAACTCTCGGAAAGACGCTACAACCGTCGTGTAACCCCGTTACACCCTACCCCACCAGACTGACGTTCCCATAGAATGTCACTCGACATCTTTCCTCGTAGAGGTAGCGCTTTAGCGAACGCTTCAAACCTCACGGTTTGTTCACGGCACATAACATGACGCCTCCGGGCAGTGAGTCACAGACTCTTCGGGACCTCATTGAAGACAACCTTGACGAAGCGTTCGATTACGAAAGTGACATCGTTTTTGTGGGACCCGATGGGTCCCCTTTAGCCACCCTCACGGGTGAAGATGACACTAGTCATGCACCGAATCTGTTCCCTGAACGTGGTGCAGCAGATGCGCTAACAGCGTTACGTGACCCGCCTGACGCATCGTCAACGGTAACAGTTACCAACCCACTCGATGAGCAGCAACAGCGGACCATCGACCAAGAGGAAGGCGCCAAGCGCCGGACGAAAAATATGACGAGACTGCAGGACCACCGACAGTACAGGTTCAAGCCACCTACGGTGGAAGAACGCCTAAAGAAAGCATCTGGGCATTCCCTTTCTGGTTGGACCATTGGGCCTGAGGCCATTTCACCTGAGGATGTTGCCACGCGCACGGCACTCCGACAACGATATCTGGAACCTCACATCACTACACAAAGCCAATACTTGGCACGCCTTAACAGGCAAGTGCGCGGTGGGCCAGTTCCTCCCATACAGGGTGTTCCCATCCTTCTGTTCGCGGAGGAAACCGAGGACAAAGAAGACACGGCTTTCAGCCGCTGGGCGCATTATGCGCGACGTTTATGCAGCATGTGGGCCCTACGGGCAAGTGCCGATGTGGCAGATGTTCGACTTGAGCGGAAGATGCGTTACGATTACGCTAAATTGAAGGCCCGGGGAAATTGAAATCCCAACGAACGCATTATGCGTCTGCCAGCACCCAGCAGCCCGATGTTTCGGCTACCCCTGTAGCCGCGAGTTCACGACAGTCCGAGGCCGCTAACCCGCCTACCCTCACCATTACTGGTGAGAAGCGTCAGCGCCAACAGGCGGACCCTGCGCACGACGCTCAAAAACGTCTACGGCGTACGGGCAGTCCTGCCGAAGGGGAGTCTCAAACTCGCATGAATTCCACGACTCGGGATAACCCCGCCACTTTACCAGATACTGGTTTTGACCATGGCGGCGACGCTTCTGCAGTAGACGCTCCACATGGAACTGTAGGTTCCCCTGCGCATCGAGCAAAGAAGGCGGAGCCCGGTGTATCGGCACAAACTCATGCCGAGCTTGTTCAGGAGGTGCGGTCCCTTCGTGAGGAGAGGCAGACGATGAATTCCCGGCTTGCGTCCCTGGAAGAGAGTCGGACCCGTATGCAGGGTCAGCTTGACATGTTGGCGCAGATGCTTCGTCCCGCGATATTGCCAATGGGCTCGGCGCGAGCGCCTTAACGTTTACTTAGGACGGATCCCGATACCTTTTGAGCATACAAACATAGAACACAGGATGTGTACGCAATTTGCGCGGCAAGTTAAGCGTATAAGCTGTGCCTTTCTTGGCAATGACCTTAAAGGGTCCAATAAAGCGCGGGCGCAACTTTGTCTTAAAGACAGCGGATACTACATTGGTAGGTAGATTTTTAGCATTTAATAATACTTGATCTTCGACCTCATAATCATTAATACAACTTCTGCCTTTCGCATCTGCATATTCCTTTTGTTTATCTTGACTATCAGCCATTGCATCTTGCACATGTCGTAAGACATTTAGTCGCGTTGCGAGAAACGCGCTTACCTGTTTCTTAACTGTATTAGGGCTGACATCAGCAAGCCGATCGGCAACCTCTCCCCCACCAAGCCCTGAACCACTCGGTGGTAGCGTTAACGGAACGCGTGGGTGTGTGAGACCATTGACATAGAACGGAGTGTAGCCGGTAGAGGCGTGCACGGAATTATTGAGTGCAAACTCAACTACAGGGAGCATAGCGCTCCATCGCTTAGGTGTTTCAGCACAAACGCTGCGTAGGATATCTTCAACAACGCGATTTACGCGTTCAGTTTGACCATCGGTCTGCGGATGATCCGCTGTGGACATGTCCAAATGGGTGCCCAGCACCTGGAAGACGGACTTCCAGAATTTACTCGTAAAACGAGGATCACGATCAGAAACAATTGCCACTGGCAAGCCATGTTGGCGAAACACACGATCGATAAACAGCTTCGCTGTACCCACACCATCGATCGAATCTGGCACAACCGCTAAGTGAGCCATCTTGCTCAAGCGGTCAACAAAGACCACAATGCCTGTATTGCCATGCGAATCTTTCGGTAGGCCAGATACAAAGTCCATACTAATGGACTCCCAGCACCCAGTGGGAATAGGCAAACTAGCCAGCGGCGCTGCCGAATGGGGTGAGGGTTTCACCCATTGACACGTTTCACACGTACGCACATATGTGCTCACCCATTTATATAATTTGGTCCACCAATAACTTTGGCATACTGCCCCATAGGTCTTTTCACGACCCAAATGACCCCCGATGGCGGTGTCATGTACCTCATAGAGGATACGATACTTCAGGTCCTCGTCATGAGGAGCCACAATACGCGGAGGATCCGCTACATCTGTACGATAGTATAACAGCCCCTCATCGATAGAATATCGATGGAGGCTCGCACGTAATCGTGCCGACAATTTAATGTCCGAGTCTTTAAACTCATCACTACCAAGAGCATGTAGCAACGCTATACAGTGATCATCTTTAGCATACGCCGTACGAATGAGAT